AATGAACTTTCGGAGAAACAAAAATAATGTTGATCGACCCATTAAAAACGTTAATCAATGAGCCGTAAAATTCAAATTTTCCAACCACGATCAGCTCCAATTAAAACGCAGTCGTGATTGGCATAATTATAAAATTTTAATTCTTGAACGAGTTTATAAAATATGTGCCCTCCTTAATTATTTGGATAGTGAATAATAGGTAACAATAATTAACTATTAAATGAAGAAATTATCCGGTTAGAACTATTGCAATTTTGCAAATGGCATCGCAAATTTCACTTAGTCCACACACAACATTAACATTATTATGGAAACAAACTTCATATGTTGATATATTTTAAGCAAAATTCTACATTGTACGAAAGAAGACAATTTTTGGAAATAAAAACTCAAGATTACCTACTGTATTTGGAATAAGCTTATGAAAGATGCACGATTGCCAGGCAAATACGTGATCTGTTCGCAACTGTTCACTCTAAACGAAACTTAAACTTGAAGCGAAGAAGCATTAAAACGAACAGCAGATTTGACTTTTTAGACTGAAAGAGCTCTAAATAGTCAAATATTAAGACGACTGAAGCACATCTTGAAAACTTATTTGAAAAGAGTTGAAAGTGAAGATATGATTTAATACACGATATATAAGAATTTAAGCACGTACTAATAGATTAGCAGAAATGATATCGCAGAAGGCATTGACGATATTTTTTATTAATTAATTATTTATGAAGGTTGAGCCTGCTTAGTTAAAGTATCCTCAAAAATCAGCAATTCAACCTGCTTAGTTAAAGTTTCCTCAAAAACCGCCAAGATCCAGGCGAAAGTGTTACAAACCATAAAAGACCGCGACACACTTCGAAACCAGGCGAAACGAGGGAGATAAAACAAACCCCGATACACCCCCATGTGAACTAGCTGGTGGCCTAAAACACAAAACAACACAAGGGATGATGCGACCCCTCTCGGTTATATCGTACCGGCTTATGTCACTTCGCTAATAACAATACAAACAGAGAGATGGGAATCTAACTTTATCCTGCTTTATCCCCAGGAATATTTAAATAAGGAGAATGCCAACCGAGGCTAGAAATCCCGCTAACGTAATTTATTCATTCTATTTCGACATTTTCGCATTGGATGATTCATAAACGTTATGGCAAATTTATTAACTTCCATTAGACGAATCTTTTCAAAATTAAGAACGTTCTTGATGGAAAATGCAATGCTGTTCTCGATTATCTTTGTACTTACCGCAAACATTTTCATTCTAATTTGTATATACGAAACTGTTTTCATTGGGTCTTGATAAAAATGCATTTAATTCAGCTGCAGTTGGATATAGATCAAAGTCGTACAAATCAGATAACAGAGGAACATTAAAATATTAATTTAAAAAATAACTACATTAGTTTCAAAAAACTGATAAGAAAATAAATGTATTGTATAAAATACTTAATAAAGCTCCGAAGCGAAAATTTGGGGCCTCCCAAGAAGAAATCTGGCCAACTAATTTTCTGGACAAATTTTTTGAGAACACTTAAGAGCTTAAGTGCAGCAACAATTTATGAAAAAATCAAGAAATGTCCCATTTTTAAATAGATATATCCCAAAAAAAACAAATTTTAAACAAAATATTATTAATACTTATCATATATTTTCTGTTCCCAATCAGTAAATCCTTTGTTTTTTTTCTAATTTCAATTTCTTCTTTAACACAAAAGACTGCTAGCAAAATTTATAGTGCTAAAATTTTAAGCACAGACACGCTACAAAGTAATAACTAGTGTAAAGAGAATTGAACGCCCTTTAAAACGATTTGCCACTTGACCCCCTTCCCATTTAAGATTCTAAGAGTAACAGCTACCCTTCCTAGGGGGTTGAAACAAGGAGGCTAAAAATATGTATTTAAAGCGTCCCCCTTACAAATGAAATTGACGAGTCTTTCCTATTTTTCATATTTTCAGCTGAAATAAAGATTATTAAGGGTGGGAAGTTTTCACATTAACACCCCGTATACAATTCACAGTTGTTGGATAGAGAATAATGCCAGCAATTCAGATATTTGTTGAAAATTATCTAAAACATCTAAACTATAGATCCTGTAAGCCCATTAGTCTTGAAATTGCAAAGTTTTCAACTGATTTGTGAAGAATAATACCGTTCCATAGATAATAAGGCCGTGTTTATCATATAAAATACGAGAAAACATCAACTGAGCACAATAAACAATTAATTAAAATAGAACGTAAATACAATACGTAATGAATTAAAATAAATGTAAAGAATTATTTAATTTTGTTTTTCAAGATCAACTCAACGTTTCACATATTTGTGCATGATTTCAGATTTTGCCAGTTTATAGAAGATAAAAATGCAGTTTTTTGATAAATAACGTGCTGGTTTATATGGAGTAAATACTGGTGAAAATTATAATAAAATTACCTACTAATAAAACATTTCACAGCAATATTACGAATGGTAGCTCCTCATTGAACGAAGCTATTTTATTCATAACTAAGATACTTCTATTCGATTGTTTTATATTGATAAGCAATTGTTTCACCTAAAAATAAACCTTTTCGAAGTAACAACATTCTCCAGTTGTTACGTTTGTCCATAATGTTTTCGGTCACGCAGTACTCAAATATATCTGTTGGACACGTGCAATGCATCTATCAATATAATGAAACTAGTGAAGTAAACATGAACCCTTGAAAAGGGCTGTTTGAATAAAACGCAGCCACTTAGTGTTTGGGTTTTACCCAAAATTAAGATGCCTATCATCGATGTGTAAACAATTATATTAATCGTCACGATAATACTTTTTGACAAGGTTGGAAATAATTCCATCAAATTGTGCGGATAAATAGGTATAATTAGATTATGTGGGTGTGTGTCCCTTCCTACTTCGCTCCTAATAATAATTAAGTGTGATGAAAAAATGAGTACTAAACAAATAACTTTTGTTTAGTATAAAATTGTATACTACAAAACGCAAAGTTTTACAACATACATGTGACTGCATAAGGCACAGTGGCGACAATAGGCCAAAGCTCCTTCGCGCCATTATGGTGCGAAACTATTTGACGCCAATACTTACGTACTTTAAATCTACATTTTGAGTAATTTTGAGTACATACAATTTTACCTACTAGCAATAAATATTTTATTGCTGGCACACTAGCACACTAAACAGTTGTGTGATTAATTGCAACATTATCGTAAATCATTTAGTCTAAACGCAGATATTATTTTATAGGGTATAAAACCCAGCCAGGGCCAAGTTAAACGTGCATAACTGAATGGTAAATACAATAACTTTCGCCTCAAAATGGAGAATTGTAGTCACGTGGAGGCCTTAACCAATTGAAAAATGGACTAACCATTGTCGCCACTGTGATGTATACAGCCACTGTAGCTATTGCCAATATAAATATAGATGCATTCATTTCGGACGGCTTTTGAGCTGCAAAATTTTTGGTGTAACATTGAGAAACAAAAAACGGAATGCGTCTAATCATCACAGTAAGTAAATATTAATTCACCATTAATTAATCATGTACAAAAATTAGTCAAAAACAGCAAAAAGAAGTGTAATTGCCTAAACAACACATGTTTTTTAAAAACGAGTTTTGATGTGAAAAAGGTCCTTTACTTTTTGGCAAAATTCACATTTTTTGAACGACCTCGTATACGCCCGTAAAAATTTAGAATCTAATAGTTGAATTTCGGTTTTAGACCACGTAGAATTTTTAATGACAAGTGAATTTTTCTTAAGATTAACAATAAAAAAGTTTTCCATATAGTTCCAAATCAAGGTAACACACCATTTACATTAAATTTCAACCCAAGTTGAAACGTTCTTTTCGCTGCATTGCTCATTTTTTAAAAGAGAAAGGGGAAAATGTTGAAAATTATTATTTAATTTTCCTTCAAACGAAATTCTTAAAAACAGTTATTCATTCGATCATAGAATCTGTCCAGGGGCAGCATTTCATAACTAGTCATTAGCCAATAAAGGAAATGATCAGAAAGAGCTATCGAATTATCGTAAAAACCCACTAATTTGTTTTGTACATACACGGTTATACTTAATTTGTTACTTGAAAAATAAAACGCAGAATACATCAACCCGTAAGGAAAAAAACTCGGCTACCGAAGGAACGTGACAGAAATAAAACAGGTACATCAATTAATCAAGAGAATTGCCCGAAGAAAAAGTTTCGCCTCCACAGATAACGATAAATCTGGAAAATATCGCTAATTTATACAATATCGAAAATGTTCGTTCAATCGGTGAAATTTCGAACAAGTTTGAAACAATACTTGCGTTCATTTATATTACTTAAAGTTCCTCTCACATAAAATACAGATATGTTCTAAGTTGCGATATGGATTCAGAGGCTCTAAATAATTTCAAACGAACAATTTACGAAAATTTTTATTGCTTCATTCCTATATACTCTGCAATCAATAAAAATAGTTCACGCTAAACGAGCGAACCTTTTGATCAAATTGATAGCGTTGTTAATATTTATCACAGATCCACCTAATATTCAGAAGTCCTCCATATTGAAAGATTTATATGGATGGCATTAGCTAAAGAAAACATCGACTTGAAAAACAAACTTTTCCTATGAATCTTCTCCCCTACAAAAATCATCAAATATTTACCGGGCCTAAAGAAGGGGGAATGCTTTCCGTCTTATTAATAATAAATTATATCCCATTTAGCCGCTTCCTGCAGGTAGACAGGAGTTCTTTGCAGGATCGTGGGGTGCAGGCCGACTGGCAGACGGCAGGAGAACAGAACAGTGCAGCATAATGGGACACCACGTCATTAAACAAACAGGCGTGGATCTGGGGGTGCGTGCTGCCCCTTTTATTGATGTGTCCTTATAATAGACCAAGAGATATTTTTAAAGGATGAATGGATGGATGTTATGTCGTTATGAGCAAGGTGGAGTCATTCAGAACCACGCAAAGAAACTTCTTTGTTTACTAGATAAATTTTATTAGATCATCAGTCATCTCAGATGATCTGGATCTTAATCCACGTCCAAGTTAATTGATCAAGTGAAATCATAAAACTATTAGATCGATATTATTTTACGTATCGCCTTAAACAGAGAGAACGCAAAAAAGTGCACTCCAACTAGAAAGTGTTAAGTCTAGTTCAGGAAACAAAAGTTGAAAACATGGCAGACTAGAAGCAATAATTTGGAAAAACTTTGAGATTAGAGATTGAGATACACTCTCAATTTTCTATAACTTACTGGAATGTTGTCATTTATTGAATTGTTCAAAAGTTGTCAGTCGAATTCTGCTGAACTAAAGAAAAGCTTACAAAATACCAGAAAAAGACATTAACAAGCGCTAGAAGAGAATTTTGGTATTCGGACAGATCGCTTCCAAAACGCAACAAATCTAGATCCGATAAGATATATGAGCGATAAAATAGATAGTACGAAGAATTTCTCAACAACTGCAAGAGATGCAAAGCGGCAAAATTGATATATTTTTCCATTTTTGGAGTTCATCAAAAATAAAAAAAAAATAGAAATAATTTTTCATGGTAGTCAAATATTTTCAAACTTACTCATTATTACAGACATCAAAGTAACAGATCTTTATTAAAAGTACTTTTATTTTAGATCCAGTATTCAAAATTGCCTCAACTGAGTGTTGATTGGCGAGTGGTGAGTTGTAAAGGCGAAATTATTTTAAGTTTACAAACTCATTTTCCAGTCAGAAAGGGCTGTGTTATATCCCAACGCATTTTATACTTCAATCGAATAAACTTAACAAATTTGAACAAGAACTTTAATCAAAGGAGCAATTTTGATTAACTCCAAAACTTAGCGTTACCAAGACCTTAAAATTGCTGTATTTGAATCAAAGAAATGTGATCTTACGTTTCCAATACGTTTTCAAAATAAAAACTTGTTAACTTTAGCGCAGGCAAACACGAATACCGACGGGAATATGAACATGAATTTATATTGTAATGAGATTTGTACACAAGCTAAGAAAGAGAAGGTCAGAAGAAGGTTCTTATATAAAAATATAGGAAAATTCGCAAGTGGAAAGTTCCGGAATTTCACAACATTTGATGGAATTTACATGCAACATAGGGATGTAAAGTATATACGTGTACGTGTGTATACTTAAGTTGGCAAGATGTGGGAAAGTTTTTTAGTAATAATTTTTATTCTTTATAAGAGTTCTACATGTTCTCAAATTCAACAACGATACGAGTACTATCATATATTAAATATCGACAGTTTACGTCTTAGAATCGAGCTTCTATTGATTGGTGAAGTCCTACTACTTGAAACTAAGTCTTGGTTTCAAAAAAAAGTCGTCGACGTTGAATGTATTATCTCGCATGCCACATTCTCCATATTTAACAATTGGCTTTTGTCTTAAAATTTTTGTTTGAGGCTATTTGCATAAAGTACAAAAAGAAACGATGCGAATTAAAGTTAATTAAAGTTAAATCAGAAGCACATGAAAATAAAATAACAACCAATGTAGCTCCGGGAGATGGCAAAAAAGGCAAAAGGAAATTAAATCATGTAGCCAAAGATGAGGATCGTAGTATAAACTAGGTCGTATAGACTTACCTGAAAAAATATGTAAATGGTAGCATTCAAAGGAAAGCCGAAATTAGAACGTATAAAAGCCTTTGACTCAATGATCACACTTGAAAAAACATGCGAAACTATAAACGAAAGAACCCAATAGAATTGATTCTAGAAGAGTTAGCAGATGCTTTAAATCAGTACATAAAAGTAATTTGACATTTTTCAAAATAAATAATGAAAAAGTTGGTAAAATGTTATATTCCAGCTTTGGTACTCCCTTACTAAAGTTGTCCGCGTTCAAATAAAATTGACATTTTAAAGGGCAGGATCCATCAACTTAGCGACTTAATTATGTTACCAGAATGAATGAAAGGAAGACAGCTTTAATATGTCTTTCGGTCTCAGTGTTTAATTTGACAAATTAAAGCGCTTGACTCCCCTTAAAGCTAACTGATCTATGGTAATTACCATGATTAAAGTTTGCGTTCCGGTTGGTTGCAAAAGCTTGAAAGGAATTCATTTTCGAAAGTACATTTCCCGACTTTTTACAGCGGATGGTTAATTTACTGAAATAAATCAATAACAAGTTAAAACGGATAAATTTCCGTGTTCAATGTTGAGTGCTTTACTGTTTTACTAGGCAGTTTGAGCTTTACGTGCTACCTAATTGCGCTTATTTAAGTTTGGAGACATGCATAGAGATAGCATATATAAATTGCTTAATAAAAGGTTTATATAAACTGCATTTTTACTGGAATTACCATCAAAATCGATGTCAATGGTAAAGTATACAGAACGTATAAGTATACCAACATAGAATTGACTCAGTTAATCAAATGCACTTCTTCTCCCATTTTCTTTCTTTAAATTGGCTTTCTTTATGTTAGAAGCTTTCATTCAGCGTGTTTCAAATTTGAGATAAAGCGTCATCAACGTTCATTGGATAAACGAAAAAATTGATTCAACTGAATAGCGTTTGTTCAATTCATAGTAAGAACCAGAAATGGAAAAAATTCCTAATCAAATTAATAACGTTTCTTCAATAAATTTTCGGAATGTTCTTCATTAACTAAGTGTCTAACTAAATGTGAATTATTTCAGCGCACATTAGTCTACACTATTGTAGAACTCTTCAATGGTTTCCGATTTGGTCATAAAAACTTGAGTATTCCAGTCCATTGATGTTAAATCCGGAGATCTCGGAGACCATTCAACGGGTTCTCCCCGACCAATCCATCTGATTGGAAATACATTGACCAGACATTTACGAAAATGTTTTGCAAAACGAGGAGGTTTTGTTGAAAACCAATTTTTCTATTAGGGACAACCGCTTCATCCGGATCAATCAACAGAGTAACCAAATTCTGAACTACTTTTTCCTTTTAGAATTTTAAATTTTCCGTTTAATTAGATGAATATCGGTTCTATTGTTTGATCATCAATTACCCACTGACTTTTTCTAGATGTTGGGTATAAACTTATCTTATCGTGTAGAATTTTTTTACGATTTACCTCACCATTTATAATAAACGTTGATCATATGTTATTCGACTTTAATTCTAATTGGCACAGTCACACACTGATTTATGAGCAGAGAAACTGACAATAAGTGATTATGTCGAACCACACAATATCCAAACTTTTGACTATAAATAATGACCAACGACAAGAAACCAGTAACAAACTGCACAATTCGGCTGGTAAACAATGCTAATTGGGACCACCGTATTATTCGAATGATTCAGGGGATGTTAATTGGTGTAGCGCCCCTTACACAGAATCTTTTTTGCACCCTCCGTAACCTCTTTGGCGCTAAGAAAGTTTCCACCAGCGGGGCGTCAGAAGTTTTTTTATTAGCATTGAGTTGACCTGATGTTGAGTCAGTGGAAAATTGCCAAAAGGACCTTAACATTTTACTAAAATATCATTCGATGTACCCACGCTTCATTATGTTTTAATATAATCAATTTAAAAAAATATATAGTTAAATATCCGAGATGCGTGTGTATATTTTAATACAAAAAGAAGGTAATTATTAGTTTTAAGACTCGACTCACAATTGTTCATGATTAAAAGTCAACAATATCTCATCAGTCAAACATCAGGTTTAAGGTTTAATAAACATTTTAGCAAATTAAATACTGTAAAATGTAAATGTATGGAAAACGAATTTCTAAAAAGTATCTAATACGCGGCAAACCTTACGTGACAGTATATAAAACAGTAACTGATGAAAATGAACAAGTAACTATCAGATGAAAAACAATTATGCGGTAATTTGATAAAATTGCCTTATAAATTCAATCATCTAGAATAATCCTGACAGTCTTTACGAATATGTATTAAACAGTTGATAAAGCGAACTTAATATAAATCGATTATAATTAACTGATCCAAAACATACAATTTATTGGATCTCTTTATGATGGATAACTAGAATTGTAATGAAAAAAGTATAATACTTATAATTGCCATCTATCCCTTCAGCCTTAAACTTGGATTGGCGAATTGTTAAACTCTTTTTTAATTTATAATTTGAATATGAATTGAAAGAGAAGTTCAACAGCAGAAGAAAAACAACGGAGAATTATTTTTTTATTAACCACTTGTAGGTATTTTTGCTAATATCGTTATCCTAAGGCAGTTTAATGATAGTATAAGCTGATTTTTGCTCATGTTTGTACCTTAGTATAAACGTGATAAGATATGGGGATTGATAAATAAGACGAAAAGTTTGGCTAAAAATTGATAAATAAAATTTAAAAAGCTAGCTAGAAATAACAAGATTTAGGTACTATTGCTAGTTACCAAGTTCATGCACAGGAATTATGTTTTAATTATAAATATAATTAATTACCAAAAATAAACATATTACGGACATGCGACACAAATGATAAGTGCTTGAATTTGATAGAATTAATAGCGTCAGAGTCGAGTTTTTTGGTAAATAATTAACTATTGTAAAAAAATTCAGCTCGTAACCAATTAAAAAGAATTTCTAAGAATAGTCAATTCTTAGTTGTTCATGTCTCAGAATATTCAAATCAAGTTATGAATGAACAAGACCTAGAGAAATGTCTCTCAAATTTTGTATGGCAATAAATATGAAACCGAAATAAGAAAATGATGTTTGCATATATATTCTATACAATATTATATTTTTCGTACTGTGCTTTCTGCAACCAATTTAAGTTTTTTGTATTCTTCATCAAAATGTCTGCTTTTAATAAGGAAATCACTGAAATTGTCCTCTCCTTTTAATTTATTGATAAAGTTTTCATCACATCCACTTTTATAGCGTACGTTTTATGCGACCCTTGGCGCAAATGTCATTTATAGTATCCAGACTCCCTTGGCATGCATATATGGATGATTCCGAAACTAAATTACAGAAGAGAGATCTACAAAGCGATACGTGCCCACGTTATGCTATCTGAACGGCTTTATTCTCGCCGACATTATTCGTAAAATATGCAAAATAGCCCTTTTAAAATGTTATCGGGATTGGATTACTTGATGAAGACTGGCAGGTCTGGTTGGCTCTTCTGTGGTACATACAATCTAGTTTTCCAGTATACACTAAATTGAGAAATTCGTAATAACTGACGAGAACAGAAACTATGGTTTCCAGAAGAACGAATCTTTTAGAAGATTTATTGAAGAAGTGATCCTAAAGAAAATTCACATAGAAACAACTGAAAAAACAACAACAACAACAACAAACAAACTGAGAAGATTGAAAATATAACAGACCTAATAAACACAGCAAAATATGCAGTTTTGAAATGGTAGGAATTTCTTGTAATTGCGGCAAAGAAGAGCTCCGAACATATAACGACCAATTTTAAGTATTCTAGAATATTCAATTAATACAGTCAATATTTTCTAACATCAAACAAATTCGACATACAAACTAATAATATTTTTATGTGATTTTTTATGTAAACATATCCAAACGAAAACTTCTTCTAGGAAATATTTTACTTTAAGATAGCCAAAACACTGAAGCCTGAATACCAAAAATATTTTTCGAAGCAATGAACTTGCCGAACGCAAACCATCAAACAAAAGACGAAAATCTATAAAAATTAAAGCAGAAAATTAAAGAAGGTGAATACAAATAGGTATAATTGTACCTGGAACCAAAAAAACGAAATGTAAACCAAAATTCTTAAAAGTAAAACGTAATACTCCAAAGTAAACTTTTTTGCCCTTGCAGAACATACGATAAATATAATTTTAAGTTTGAAGCAGATTTAGAATTTCCATATCCGATGAACAATCAAATCAAATCTGCCGTTTACTTGTGCTCGAGTGTAAACCTTTTGTAAACGTTTCTTTATTTTTATTGCAGGAAACCATATTACCAAAGCTACCAGTTCCTCCATTAGAAGATACGATGCGAAAATACCTCAATACGTTACGTCCTTTACTCAACGAACATGAACACGAACAAGTTAAGAAAATTGTGGATACATTTGCTGGCGATGGAGGTCTGGGAAGAAAATTGCAGCTGTATTTATTGAAACGAAGAGAGAACATGGATAATTGGGTAAGCTCCATTTCATTCAATTAGGCAATCAAGGCGAGTGCTCAGAAAATGTTTTTTTTTATATAAAACGACCGGTCGAAATAATGGAAGATCGAGTAGAAATAATAAAAGTAAAGACTTAAATTTAAGCTTCAACTAAACCACAAAGGGGCATTGTGTTTGAACTGGGCTCGGAAGATTCAAGTCGTTTTAATCTTCGCAGCAAACACTAACTAATTCAGCCGGGATCCAATTATATTCCTCGATCTCCCTTTGCAAATTCTTGTTTACTGAGGATTTGGCATAATTTTTATCACCGTTTGTGCCGCCGTTCTTTCTATTGAAAAATATTGAAAGTACTTTCCCGCATGGTTTTTAAATACTAAATCTGACCACTTAATGGAAAATATGTGTATGTGATCTGTTCCATTTATTAAATGGGACACCAATTTGATGGCTTTTTAAGTTATTACTTAATTTTATTTTATTATGTTTTTAATATTGTTACATGTCCGAGGCAATATGATATGAGACGAACCGAATTGGGTCTCAAAATGTGTGCAGCAATTTGTTGCCTGCAATTTAACTATTTATATACTTACTAGTGTCTTGTGTTTGCTAGATTTTACAAGGTGCCTGATAAGTTATGACAAAAAAATTAAAGGCGGACTTCTGGGTAAAAACAATACGATTTAGCACAACTTACTTCAGACGAAAAGTGAAAGAAACAGAAATACAGGGAGTCAGGGTGATTTTTTGTAATGGTTTTTTTCAAATAGCTCACGAACAACTTAGAGTTTTTTGCTAAAATTATTCATGGGTTTCCGAGGGTGACCAACCAATTTGATTAACAACTCAGTTTTAACCGATTTTTCAGAAGGCGCCACATGCAGAAGACAATCCGCTTTAAAATCGCACTAACTTTTTTTCTAATACTGCTAATACTTTTAAACGAAACAGCTATTCTCTGTGGGATGATCGGTTTTTAAGATATTTGCAGCAAAAGCCTTCGGTGCGATGCAAATATGAAAATATTTATTAAAATTAAACGTATTTATGACTGGACTGAGAGAGGGTAATGATAATTTAATGAGCAATGATAATTTCTTAAACACAAAAAATACATGATCACACTAATAAAAAACGAATCAGCTTTTGCAAAAAGAATGAGAATGACGTCGATTAACTACGATACATTTACTCACACATTTATTAAACGCTCTTCTAATTTAACAAAATTATATGTTTATTTCAACATGTTTCCGCAGCAATTTGAATTTTTATTAACGGTTCTAATAATTCGTCTTGAGCATCTATCGTTTCTTTTTTTTCTCTCGTTTTCTCGCAAGTTTGTCATATACAATTTTAGCCCTTTAGACCATTTCTAACCATTGTTTTTGCATGTTCGGTTCGGCGCTCTTGAGGATGTTCGCTTGTAATTTGACGCGTAAGTTTTGTTTCCTTTTACTTTGTTTCGTCTGCGTGATATCCTCCAGGTTGCCTACTGTTGCTTTGTTTGTTGCTTTTTAGTGGCCCTGATGATGGCGTAATTGTCGAACGCGCTTGGCCTTAATTTATTTATTAATTTATATATTATTTGCCTCCGTTTCGTTTTTATTAAACATGCAAGAAAATACTTCCAACGCAAACAATAATTAACTTTTTACTCAAGAACTAAAATACTGCCTTGACATAGACATTTTATGAGACAGCGAATAAATGCGAGCGATTTTAAAATAACAAGATTGTAAAAGATGATTGTTTGATTGGATTATAAAATATTTAAAAATTAACTATCATCGATCTGGTTACCAAATGATTGTCCGTAACCGAATAATATTGATGCCCTAATATCGGACCTGACACCATATATGTTTAACATTTATTCAGCAATTTAGAATAACAGCGATAGTATATGTCGCTGTTCCTCTAGCCCTTATCGAATCCATTCTAGAACTCCCTATTGAATGTAGGAATACATCCAACAGAACTAAATAAATTATTTAGTCTTATAGCTAAACGCAAAAGTGTACGAGAATTAAAAAGCTTAAAAATCTGGAAAGATAGCAGCTTGCACGCTAATTTCGGGTTTGAATAATTAAAGATCGGAATGGTAGTGAAAATATTGTCCAAACCACTTTTTCCAAGAGCAATAAATTGTTAAGCTTTTCTTTAAAGAATTATATTTAGTTACTTCTCAACAGCTTATATTTTACTTGTTATTATGAACAAATATTAACAGTTTTTTATATACAGATTTCTGAACATTATGAGATTATAATTCAAGTTATACTCGCATTTGTTACTGTTGTAAAAAATATTTGCCATACAAATTAAGCTCATCAAGTCGCCAGTGAAGCAAATAATCCCGCCCCAAGTATTTGCACATCAATTAATCAAAAAAGACTACGACGAGACGACTAACTGGGGTAACACGTAGTCTGAAAGAGTGAGCTTACGTTCCAATCCAATGATCAAACAATTTCTGAGACTAACAAGATCAGTCATGCTCGGAAAACCCCATGTGCAAAAGGCCGATGCAGATTTGATAATTGGGCGTCTTGGTAATAGGGTAAATATTCCTCTCGGGTAATAGTGTAATAAATTGGTGCTTCGCAGAACTACTAATATTGATGTTGCAGATTGGATAGCAAATTTGTAGTCACAGGATAATTATATTCAACATTGATTTTATTTTCTGCTTACCTAGAGAGTTATAAAACAGTGTAAACCGTCAGATGTGTTCGACTTTAATGCGGAGAATATTTAAACTTCGGACTAAGCCGAGAATGCCAGAGATTAACTATTTGATCGCAAAAATTACTATTTATTTAGAATGGTTTTTAAATCAGTTAGTTATAGTTTTTCTTCTTAAAGTCGTTTTTAATGCAATTGTTATAAACTTTCTGTCTCAATTTGGCACTGAACGGAGAAAGCAGAACATTTATAACTGATATACGGACGAAAGCCATAAGGGTAGTAAAAAGGAACTATTAAGTGGCTATATAACCTTTCGAATAACGGCGAATGACAAATAAAATAACTGCATTCAAGAAACTGTACCCTTTCAACAAATTTTTATTTGAGAATGGAGCAAAAGAACATGCTACTTAGCGTGATCATTTTGCTTTCCTATACATTAAGAACTTTTAGCTAGCTTTAACAATGTTAAAAGATTATTCTATTTAAAAAACGTTTTACCATAAAATGTTCATTCAGTATATTTTGCTTTTCACACCCAAACTTTTTATGATATAACTAAAATAAGCGACAAGGCCCTGGGACAGATAGCGTCGATGTGACTGTGATTAAAAACGTGGAGACACTTGAAATAAGTGGATAAACCTGTAATCCAGTGATATTCCCAATATAATACTTTAAGTCCCAAAAATAATTGATTTTGAAAATCAATTACCTCAGCAAAATTGTTTAGCAAAATCTCTGTTTTGTAAGATGAATTAAATGATACTTGGTGATTTCGTTAAAAATAAGCTTTAACTTGAATTAGAGCTTTTTAGGTTCAGATGAAGCGTGAATTTAACTTGACTCTAATTTTAGAAGATGTGGACATTATATTGCAAATTAAAACCGAAAATTCGATAACCATGATATTTGAAAAATAACTGAATATTAAAACGCAACAACCTCTAACAAATCTATGTTGTGGATAAGTTTTATGCAGCGGATTCATTTTTTCAAAGCCGTTTTGTTTTTTCACCAGATATTTCGCCTCAAAATATTTAGTATTTAAAAAAAAAACAGTTTCTTCACGTCTTCTATTACGGATTGAAAAAAAGCGATTATAGAGATATAGAGAGAAAAAGAGAGTATTATATAAAACTATTATTATAGTTCACAATAAAGAAAGAATTCTTTATCCATCAGAGATCATTCTTTACCCATCTTTATCTATCATCTAGAGAGTATCCTACGACACACTTCGTCTGGAGCTCTTGAAAAATACGATTAATATAGAAATTAATTTAGAAAAGTTTCATTGACATTTCGGTAAAAAACCTGTTAACTTTATCAAAAAATACCTAAAAAATGGTTAATCAATAAATTGCTAAACACGACTAAGTGAATACAAATACATATGTTAGATTAGTTATAAGCAAAATTAATTAAATATGTTGATTACAATTTAATTTCGGTGTAACGGGGTCTCAAAGTTTCAGAACTTCTATCGGGAAAACGGTATAAAATATTGAAGTAATTATTCGAACGATTTCCATGGCACGCTTCGAGAACTGTTTTCATATTTAGTTCCAAAACGAACAACTAAGTGCTCTTGAAGTTTAACACTTATTTAAAAAAAACCATTTGAAACAAATGAACCTTCAGTAAAACTTTTTCGATAAATCGCTTCGGGAACTGCCTGGTTCTAATTAGATGTACTAAAATAGATCAACAATTCACCTGAAATGCGAAAATAAGTGCGCTACCATTTTCAAAAAAACGCTATATGAAACCCGCGAAAAGTCAATTGAGAAGCCACTCACAAAATTTACAAATCTGCACATGCAAACAGCATAAATGCTATCATTTTTTTAACTGCCACCCTGATTGCCATCTACTTCTACAAAATAAAATGCTGTCCAGATCCAGACCGTTAAAATTTCCTAAAACCCAATTTTCCGTCAAAAACTCATCGCAAATGAGCGACTCAACTTCAGCCTGATACAGCCTGAAGGGCTCTGGATACCAAAAAAAAACTGGGATGGTTGGACGAATCCTGATCGCTTAAAATCGTTAATTTTAATCGTTTGGCAAAAATAAGTGGATCAGAATGTGAAATTTGAAAAAACTGCGCGATCTCTAAATGGAAATCCAGAGCGGCTTGCAACCTTTTAGGGCGCTAATTGCGAGACCAGCTCAAAGTAATAATATAAATTCACATACATTTAGGCACTTTAGTCTGGATTCGAGGGTATTATTAACTTCAAAAGCAGCAAAAGCTGAAATTGACACCAGAAAACCAATAGTAAAATAGATAATTAAAAATATATTCGCAGCAAAATACTCCTATTTTACGTGACAACCCTGCCCATCGAAATCATTGGAAAAGGGAGCAAAACAAGTTTAATTTTGAAAATCTGAGTAAATCCCCATTAATAATACAAGAACCCTTTAGTTTCGAATGTATAAACAGACAAGCATCATACAATTGATAAAAATTATCTGGCACTACAATAAATGTGTACATCACAGGAAAAAGACATTTATTTTGCATTTAAACGGGAAAACGTCGAAAATCAGACTTTAAATAACTTTTACAAAAATGAAATAGGAAAATTCTTAAAACCCGATCCGGAATCCATCGTCGTTCCTCGTCGAATAAATACTATATGCAACAATATCATACAATAGTCAATAATATCTGATTTTGTTTCGCATACGCTCATAATTGATTACTTTGCTGGTTTTTATACAGGGTGGTTATCATTTAATGTGACTACATCCACTGACACCGTGTATCTCAGAAACTTTCAGACTTTTTCTGCTTGATCAGACAATTTTCCTGAAACGCAACACTTTTGCCCAAAGAATATGACAATGGACTTTGGCACATTATTTGAGAACCACCAAGTATATTGCACTATTTAATCGTACATGTAGGATAAGTTTTTGAAAAGTCCACAGAAGTGTTTTTCGTTTAAGGCTTATGAGTACTGGTTGAACGACATGTATCTCAACTACAGAGAGCCGATTGTAATTAACTCCAATCCAGGAATGGTGTTTACACCCAGAAAATTTACAACGATTCTGGATGTTGCTCGATTCACAGCTCGACTCATAGATGCGGCTCTAACTCACAAAGACATCCTCAATAGGAATGCCTTGCCCATAGAAAGAGCAACGTCCCGTGAACCTGGCCAGGCACTTTGCATGACTCAATACTATCGAATTTTGGGCTGCTGTAGAATTCCGGGACGCAATAGAGATTCTCAGTATATAACCGAACTGAAGAAAGAGTTTAGTAAGTAGAACATCTAGAAGCGTAGATTCACAAAGCTTTAAACCCTTAGACAAAATGTATGATTTTAGGTCAAACGAGCGAACATATTATAGTGTTATGCAGAAATCAGCAATATTGTGTTCCGATTCAAGCTGGTGATAGAGGACGATTGAACGAGGATGAAATTTGTGCTCAACTTTTGTATATTCTGGACGACGCTCCTTTGCAAAGTAATATTGCACCTGTTGGAATTTTAACTGGTAAGAAATTTTAGTTCTTTCTGACAGTACCTATTTAATGATGAAAATTTAGGTTGGAAACGTTCACTATGGGCTGATGCTAGAGAGGATCTAATGAAAGAGGAGCGAAACCGCAGAAATTTGGAGCTGATCACCAAGAGCCTCCTGATAGTCTGTCTGGATGAAACTCTTCCAAGCTCCTTTAATTGCAGGCTGCAAAAAGGGGGAGCAGGTACGATCTAAAAAGTGTGAAAAACGATTTGCCAAAACACCACATTTTTAGGATTTACAGTTGTAAATAGAGACGAAAGCAACCTAGCGCACCAAATGATTCACGGCGGAGGCTCTCAACATAATTCAGCAAACCGATGGTTCGACAAAACAGTTCAGCTTGTAGTTTCAGGTGATGGTGCCTGCGGCTTATGCTATGAGCATTCTATGGCAGAAGGTAGTGATAGATAATTTATTCCCACTGCGGCAATAGAAACAGTAATCCTTTAATGATATTTGCAGGAGTTGCAGTGATTCAATTAGTGGAAAGTTTATGGAAACATGCCGAATCTTTGCCACCAACGTCCGAAGTCCCATCTACAGGAGGAAGCCACTTGCCACCACCAGAAAGACTGGAATGGATTTTGGAAGCTACAGACTTGAAACGAATTGAGCAAGCAGCAGAAGTGGTGGATAATTTAGTTAAAGATCTAGATTTTCAGGTACTAATTGATCATTTTTGTGCGAGGCAGATTGTCAACAACAATATCAAACATTTATGAAGGAGAGTGGTAGATTTATTTTGATTCCTTTATCAAGGTGCGAAGTTTTTTAAACTCAAAGAATACATTAATGTGCGAAGAATTCTACTTTCTTATGTTGCACTGGATATTTGTTGGTGGATAACTGCTCGGTCAAGACTCTTTCAAAATTTTATTGTAGACTTTAGGTAGAGTTCTTACTTTTTTAATATTTTTTAACAGTTCTTCTTAAGCGTTTCTCATTATTTAAGCGTGTAATCTTTATTGGCTTAATCTACATAATTTTACATCCCTATGCTTGAATTTGTCATTATTATTCTAGGTTTTTCGATATACTGGGTATGGTAAAGATTTTATAAAATCGTGCAAAGTAAGCCCAGATGTCTATATCCAACTGGCCCTGCAACTTGCCTACTACAAGCTTTATGGAAAGTTAACTGCGACGTATGAAAGCGCTAGCACCAGAAGATTTTTGCTTGGTCGAGTTGACTGTATTAGATCGGCCTCACCTGAAGCTTTGAAATGGGTCACGGCTATGTCACAGCCCAAAGAAGAAACTGATTATGATATTGGAAATAAAAAGGTATATTTACAAAATGTATACGATAAATAAAAAATTCCGAACACTTTCTAAAAAACGTATAGCAGCTGAATCAAAGCAGCAAAATCGCAAAACCTCTTGCCACACTAAGCTGACGCGTTAAGATTTAAGAGGCCCGTTTCGGAATAAATGGATGAAGGTAAAAGAGGAAGTTGTTCGGAAGAAAGAAAAATAGAGCTTAGAAATGAAAACCTCTGATTTTGACACGTATTTAACACCATAAAGAAACAAAACGAAAAACGATTTCCTTAAGCGTGAAAACAAGAATAATTCCTTTAGAAAATAAAGAATTTTGCAACTTAATTGTCAGATCACAGAGAGTGACAAAATAAACAGAGCTATCAACTTGTAATGAAACATGGTACCATCAACCAATCTGGAAATGGCAACAAATAATTCCAAATTAATTCACTTTTTGCAAATTTTAAATTTCAGTGCGGCTACTTGAATCTTTTCTTCGTTATTTGCTTATCACTTGCTAATTCGCGTTTCAGGTAACGTTTCATTTGGTCAGCGATGACCAAAAGTATGAGCTCTGGAAGGAAGCAGTAAAAACACAAACCAAGGAAATGGTGGACAATATTCTAGGACAAGGAATTGATATTCATCTTCTCGGTCTTCGAGAAGCTGCTAAGGAAACTTCCCCCACAGCTGCAAGCTCACTGCCAGAAATCTTCACGGATCCCTCTTACAGGTGAGTCTATTCTTTACAATTTTTTTTGGGGAACTTAAACCAACAACTTAACGCTTATAACAGTTTCTGCTGCAGCAAAATCTGAAGCAAACTGTCTAATATGCCTTTCAATGTTCTTAGACTAGCCAATAAATTCTTACTATCAACAAGTCAAATAGCAACAAGTTCGAATTCGTTCATGGGTTATGGCCCAGTTGAAGCAGATGGATACGGAGTCTCGTACAACCTTAAAAGTGACCATATAATTTTCTGCTTATCAGCATTTTGGACATCGGAGGTAACCAGCACCAGCAGATTTGCACAATCTTTAGAAGAAAGTTTACATTCCATGCAGGTTTTACTAAATAGACCCAATGGAACTTAGGGGATGTAAAGTAACTGATGGGTTTATTCAGAAAGCTGCTAAATGTGAATATTAAGTTTGAAAAGAAATTTTCAGCTAAATAGTTGGAGACAACAATGTCATTATTTATGTGTTAATAGGTTGATTACATTTGATTGTTACAGGATTTATCAGCTAAAATTGCAGCCAAAAAGTAGTTTTGAGGTGTACAAATAGTAACATCACTATGCATACACAGATGCGGCGAACTTAAAACTTTAAATATCTCAATAAGGAATGATTTTAGAATATTCTATCAAGAGTCCATTAAGAAAAAACACGAATCCGAACATAAATAAGTGTTTATAACTGAGCAGTAAAAAACATCCCATTTTAAAGATGATCTGCATATGCTTTACTATTCAATGTGGACAGAAAGATGAATCAAGTTTATTTTGCGAAAATATTGGCTTAGTCGCGAGAGAAGTAAGTATAGACCTTGTCACAAAGGGTAGTTTTTATTGAACAAATGATTTTACAAATGAATTATTTGATTAACAACTCGTTTAAAGTAATAACTAAGTATTTTCTATAAACACCCGTTATTTTCAAAGCAAGTTTAATACGTGGTCGCCCCTTTAAATTTTACATTTTATTGCGGTAAGTTGCAACGTAATACAATTTTCCAAATGAAGAAAGCATTATCACGAAATAATTCAAAAGCATCACTTGACTGCATAGTAAAGTATTACAATTTTTTTGGTATTATTCATATTTGGGGGCTTACTGAACTCTTTCAACATTTTACTATATTGTTCACTTGATATAAGAAAGTTAGTTGTTATGGTTTTTTAAAGAAATAAAACGTTATTTCAAAGTTTGTTAAATTTGCATTTGCTATATGATTATTGTTAGATTTTATGACGTAACATTAGATTGTAACATTATTACGCTTATTTTTGGTATTTTTCTGTGATTTTTCCTAGTGTCGATAACTATAAAAGATTTATTTACAATGTTTAGTACTCACATACGTATATGGAGAATTTGTTGATCTTATTTATGTATTATTAGGCTTAGGTTCTAGGATTAGGATTGTACCGATTTAGGAAACGAAACTAAACATATCATTTTGAGCTGTATAAACAATAACATATAGTATGTTATAATTTAGATAAATATAAAGCCTGTATTTTAAAGGTATATTACTCAATTATCAAATTTTGTAAATTATGTAAAATGTTGGGACGAAAAAATTTCAAATCTTCAACAGGCAAAATTAACCCTCGCCAATTAAAATTGAAAATTAGTCAATAATTTGTCGCCTAAACTTCAACATTTCATATAGCTTACCATTGATAGACATCATATACATATCAGATATTGTCAATAGTGTGATGAATATAAACATATCTAAAGCTTAAAGACGGATATTTACATATAGTTTAAATAGACCTTCTTATATAAGAAGTAACAGTTTAGAACGAAGATTTACATTGGTAATTATTGCTTCGAAGATATTGAAATATACAGGGTGTTAAATAATATTATGCCCAAACGCAAGGGGGTGCATCTGTAGATTATGAACTTCATTATCTAGCAACAAAGGAAAAGTATGTGTTGTTCAAAGGACACGAAGTAATTGTCAGCGTTTACAGAATTATATTTTTTAAACTATTAATTATCGACTAATTAATTTCTTAATTTATTTGCTGATTGACTTTGGTTTTAATGGGAAAGCTTTTCAAACTACAACTTGAACTTAATTAAATAGTTAAGAAATCATCGTTAAAATATCTGTACCATACAATTCGAAAATTGTTCTTAAGGTAAAAGCCCGGAAAATTAACCATTATACTCACACTGGAAAAACCTCAGACATTACGGAAACTTGTAACGAAAGCTTTGTGAATGCACATTGGAATAAAATGTGTTTGTTCTAAAATCAAACTCAGATCTACTTCACGCCATCTTGCCATTATGTAACACTCTGTATATTAATTTTTAGACATTTAAGTATAGATTACGAAAGCTGTGACCCAAAGTCCATGAATAAGCAGTATTTAGAAGTAAGTTCCGATTGAAACCTATTATATCATTGCAACGTATATCTAAATTAATACTTATAAATAATCAATTCTAGTCAATGTTATAGACTGTATATAGTGTTAGAATTGTCGTGTATTAGCAATATGAAAACTGTAAACCATATTTTGTAGAATTACTTTCAATAATAATATAATAGTTTAATTATTTATGTAAATAACAAAATATGATATCGGACTGTCACGCAAATTACATTAATTAAAAAAGCTAGAATCTATTGAGTTAACCTCGTGGAAGAACGGTTTAGTCAAGTAATTATCAATATTTAGTAGGTATTTTTCAAATGTATAGATTTATTTTTATTAAGGTAAATAGATTATTTCAGAACACCTAACAGTCAAATAAGAAGTTCCTCAACGTTTAATGTTATTAGGTTTCTAATTTTTTTAAAAGGATAAGTTGGATAAACCTTAAGCAAACACGTAATTAAACGTAAAAAGTGTATTTTAATATCAAATGTTCGTGACAAACAAATTTTTTAAATGTTTTTGTTTCAATACTGGGCTCCGAACTAGTGAAAATTAAACAACTTTAGTTCTCACATTTAGAAATGTTTTCCGGGCTTTGAAGCCGTGGTCCATGGGAATTTCTGATCTCCCGTGCTTTCCGACTAAGACTTCAGTCTTAGTCGCATCACTTCGCCCACTGCCTCATCGCCATTGATAATGTCCACCGCAGTTGTGGACGAAACGTCAGGAAAAAATTCCTATGGACCACGGCTTCAAAGCCCGGAAAACATTTCTAAATGTGATTTCACTGGCCGTGGAAGCCTTCATAGTCTAGTAACTTTAGTATTTTTGAAAATATTCAATGACACTGATTGGTTGATTTGCACGTAATATAACGGTTGTTTCTTACTAATGTTAATTTATTCGCTTCTATTTCATTCGGTACTTATTCTTTCCTTCCAGGATATGTAAAAATATTTACTTGATTGTCGAAAGCCTCAGACCTTAAACTATATTTAAGGGTACCTATATAAAAAGACCATTTGAATTTTATACAATTTAATTGAATTTAATCCAGTTTATACGTATACACCCCCATTCCTCTCTTTTTGTTAAATAAAAAGTATTAATTAAACAATTAGATTGTCCAGAAATCCACTATTTTGCTTATGATAGCTTGCGAAACTTTGCCATAATTACTCGGTATTTTATATATTACACTTTCCCATTCATTAAGCCATAATTTGAGCAACAATGGGATTTGAAAAGAACAACGATAATATTAAAACCAAAGACCTACTCGACAAGTATAGTCAAATAAGTAACAAATAAATTATATTTGTACTGATTGCTCCTCAAAAGCCAACAAAAAGAAAAAGGCGACAAGACTGCATTCAAAACCCGACAGAATATTAAAAGTCGGACAGTGAGAAGCCTCCATTAAGAAGGGAAAAAATGTAAACATTTATATTCGCATTTAAGGCAGTGCCTGGTACATGTTTAGCATTTTCGCATGTTTACTTTAGTAAATCGCCTTGAAATATAAACAATCGTCCATTCACAATTCTACTATACATATAAAATTTTACCTGGAAATTCGGTACAAAAAGGATTCATCCAGTGCTCCAACAGCAACAGCTAGCCAGCTACCATAAAAGCGTTTATTTCACTTCAGAGACACAATACACTTCGGATTTAAAACACGAAACGGCCGAACGGACAACTTAATTAAATTAGACCGACTACCCCGTTTTCTCATAGTTTTTTGCCATTTTCGTCAAACGAAATGTTTGAGTTTCCCTATTCGACATTTTAAACGGGTATTTTCTATGATAGAATCATGCAACACCAGCAAAAGCACATGTTTTCTGAATTTTTTGCTACATTACGAGCTAAAAACACTAAACGTCCGGCATGTGTAAATATCCGGTTTGTTAGTTTTTTAGATGATTTTATCGCGCATTTTTGAAGGTCTTTCGCACGCACGTCACAGGTACTATCAGGAATTTTTTGGTATAAACAAACCGGTTTAAATATGTGGCCAGAGCCGTTCTATTGATTTTTCAATTATTTCAATTTGTAAAAATCACCATAAAATAATGCTCTGAATGAGAAAGAGTTGATAAAAGCTTTACTAAAGTTTAACAATTTTCGAAACTTTAAAACAACCGACCTCAGCTACAACAAAATATATTTTATTACCCATTATTTCTCCAATTAAAACCGTTGCCATTATTATCCAGATCAAAGTAACTTGCGAATATTCTATAGAGGGTGTACCAAAATAGGCCGAAAATATTCCTTAATCGCAAAGAACAGAGAGAAAAAATAGTATGACAAGTTTGCATAAGGTTTTTTCCGATGATTATTCTTTCGGATGTACAGGCCCTTAAATAAAGACCTTTAAAATCGCTTTTCATAAATAACATATAAAATAATTGCTATGATTGAACCCTTTTCTTACATGAATGTAAATATCCAAACCTTGTGAAGAATGCAACATTTTTTTCTTATGCTTCGGAAAATGCATTACATAATAAATTATATGGCTCATGTTGAGCAAAGTTAGCCAACTTGAATAAACAGTTTTTTGTCAAAAACTGTAAGCTATTGATCGCAAGAAGTTTTTTAATTTTTGTTAAAAGTTTCACTTACTTAAAACGAGGTGTGAAAAGTCTTGGTAAATTATAAATTAAAAAAAAAATACTAACAGACTGTTTAATTCCATACTAGATTATAAATATATGTGTATCCGCAGTTGTAAATCACGTTTGTTAAACCAAGAAATTCAAAAATGCTGTTTTATTAGCTAACGTTTGGAGCTTATTCGTTTGAATCTTATGGATTAGCAAACCGATTAATAGAAGTAGATCGATAAATAACAAACATATCAAAGCACATATCAATGTAATCTTAAGAAAATACATGTGTATGTACGATACATACCCAATGATTAATTAATCTATGATGTCGTGATAAATATATTGCTTTTAGCATCTTGAGTGTATGTGTCTTTATTGTCTCCCATTGCGATTTATCTGAAAGTCTCAAATCTTACATTAAAATGAAAAAAATCTTTTTCGGTGTACAATACTAAAATTGTGTTGTCTTGGAACAAAATGCGCATATTTTGGATTATCATATATTACGTATATTAAAAATAACAATAAAGGTTGTTCTACCATCTAAATTAAATAGCTACATCATGGTATTATATGTACAAATTAATAATGTGAAAGGAAGCATTTTGGAAAGAAAGTACTCCCTTTTATACAGACTGCCATCAATAATAACAATTTATTTACAAGGTACCACTGTCTAAGCATCTAAAATATTATGTTTTTAGAATGTTTACGCACGAAGAAATGTATGCAACGGAAACGGATAAAAGGGAGGAAAGTTATTCTGGTATTCAATATATCAGCTAATGAATAAATATGGATCTTGAAGTACTTATTCACAAAGTCTTTTAGCCAATAACACGATAATGAATATTGACAACCATATTTAGGTTTTTTGGGCAATCCATAGATTATAATTTGCTAAAGTATGTACCTAAATAGTGAACAGATGAGTTATACGGCTAATGAGTTTTGGTTTTAAATTAATAAGCCGCAATAAATTTCCCTTTATGTTTTCATTTAATTCTTAGGTTTTTCAAAAATCTGCTGAAGTTGGATTTTAAATTCACAACTTTTATATTAGCAACTAAATCAAACTAATGGAATTTTCCTGCACTTAATATAGAGCCGGAATTAAATCATTGTAACACTATTACGAAAATATGAACTTTGGTAAAGAAAGAAGACAATTATTGCCCAAAAAGTTCAAGAATTGTTCGTTCTTCGTTTTAAACTTCAATCGTAAATATGATTTCTTCATTCTATCATTTTGTTCGTTATAAAATAATTTAATTTCCCGAATCGTAAATTGACCCCCTGTCTCAATAAACGCAGTTTAGGCGTTTTGTCTGTAAATTCGAAATTTGAATTGTCAAAACACAACATACAATTATACAGCACACAAGTAAAAAATAAATGTTGTAAAACTGTTATTTATTGAACCAAAAACAAATTATCTTATGCCGCAATCGTATCTATTCCCTCCTAAACCGAATAAAAATAAAATGTTTCCAAAATTTGTATGTCTTCAGTTTAAGGGTCTCATTTAGTTATTACACATTTACTTTCGATAAACAATAAATTAATTAAAAAATGGGGTAAAACAAAGCAATGTTAGCAAATCATTAAATGATTCAATTGATAAATATCAGGAATTTATTGTCTATTACACAATTGAAAATAAAATTGAACAAAAAAAGCAATAGATCTCATAACTTGCAATCTCAATTGCCCTCGCAATTTTATTGTATACATAAAATTGATGATGTAGGTATATTTTATTTGTACCAAAAGTAATTGATATTTAGGTAAATAATTAAAAAAAGAAAACAATTAAAGAATGAAACATTTTAAAAATGTAGAAAGTACTATTAATGTATATTATAGCAGTATGAATAAGTAAAATTCGTAAAGCAATAATAAAAGTAACTAAGGTATTCAGAATGAAAATAAATGAAATAAAGTCTTAGCCAACCACCAAAAAAATTATTAAATTGAAGTTATAGAAAACTCAATAACATTTTCGCATTTGATCCGATTACAATATATGCCAATAAAGTGATGAATTTTCTTGTAGAAAGACCAAAAATATAATTGTAGTTTGTTATTATGTGGCTTGCATGCCCAATAATACAAGCATACAAAAGAAAAAATATATTTGTGATACATAAAGAAAGAATATAACCGAAAAAATAGCTAAAAGGTCGAAGACAAAAACATATTAAAGGTATTGATAAACATGTATGTATGCAGATGATTATTAATCGTGTATCGATACTGAAAATTATAATTTTAAATAGTGCTTATTTAATGAAAAAACAGATCAGAGTATTATAATTGCACCAAATGTAAAAATTGGGAGCTAATTTGTGTAAATTTGAAGAATAAGATTTGTGAAGATAAAGACAAATTGACTTTGGCCTGGATGTTACTCCTGGCAATGGTACCTATAAATTATTTTCAGAAACAAATCAACACTAGATTTATTCCTTGCAATATTATACATTAAATTACATTAAATAAAATTGACTAAATCAAATGACTGGATATTCTTATTAGAGTTAGTTACTACGATACTATAATATTTATGAATTTTATTATATGCACCTAAAAAGAATATTTAGTTTCAGAAATGATTAAGTGGCAAAATACATAACTTAAAGTCTTAATTTAGCCGAATAGGCCAAAATATATATGAGCAACTAGTTGGTCACAGTGCAGTGTAGACCAAAAAAAATATGTTTGAGTAGATAGATAGATATGATAGAGAGATGGATTTGATAGGAGAGAAGATGTTATGAGTGGTTTAATGTAAGAGTTACTGCCTGTCCAATGCGGTTTTCTACCCGAGAGTCCAGTTAACAGTAGCAGATAGTTTCGACGAGAACAGAAATGTTAGAAAGATGCATAAGATTTATTAAGAAAATAACAATTCTAATAAATAAAAAGGAAGATGATAAATAAAAAATGTCACACATCGAGCATCAAAGATCCATCCAAGATATAACAATTTTTTTACATTGCTTCTGTAGTAGCTCTATCCCTAAACCACTCAATGAATTGTTGAAATCAATAAAAAAAGCATAGCGTTTTAAAACATCGGAATCACTAAGGTTTGAAAGGCCCAAAACGCATTTTTAAAATTTTAGCTATTTGGAAAATGATTCCAATGTAGCAAAGCAAGTTACATAATTCTGTTAAAAATGTGTATGTCTACACTGCTTTCCCAACTCATAGATAAACCATTTTTAATAAAACATCTATTAGTAGACATGATATAATTTCTTAATTTCTCTCCCCATTCACTCAGCAGGTACTAAAAACCCCTCTTATCAAACCTCGTAGATATAAACACTGTCTCCTCGTGGAGTTTGCGTAAGACCGAAAAGTCGTCGTTCCCAAGAGAGGAAACTGAGGTATCAAAGAACACTTTGATTAATCCTTATTGCAAAATAATCAACAGCACTCACTCGCCTCTCACGCATCATTGTAAATATGTACATATAAAAATTATATTAACAGAAATTGAACCTTAGAAGTCGTCGCTATTTCATTCTATTCAACACGTAGTCAGCTGTAACTAAAAGTCCTTTTTGGAACGGACTATCTTTCAGCATGTTAGCTATTCGGACTGCTTCTTGGCAATGTTGTTTTGCCAAAAATTGCGTTTGCTCTAATCCCTTGCTCTTGTGGACCAGTTCGAAAGCTCTTTCTACGTCGCCTGGTTCTTGGAAACGTCGCATTATCATTGGATTTAGCTCGGGATACTGACAAACAAATTAAAATTGAAAATCAATATACACAAATTATGCATTGGTCAGTTACTTTTTCACAAGCGAACAGTACTGGGGCTGTAGCGAGACCCAGTTTCAAGTCAGCTGCAGTCGGTTTGCCCATCATAGCTGAGCTCGAGACAAARTCGAGCAAATCATCCACCAATTGGAACCCTAAGCCGATATTTCGGCCGTATTGGTAAGCCAATTCYGAGAGCTGTTCATCTGCACCAGCCAATAATGCCACCTAAATTTAAATAAAATATTTCTTATTAACAATAATACTAATAACCCTRKRCAAAATTCAAATATTCAATTCGATTTTATGGGTTATTTTATATTAAGAGCTACATATTTTGTTTCCCTATCATTATATMGAGAATTTTAAACCCAATTCAACTATAGGAACGTGAGTGAAAAAAGTCTGGCAGTTTTCACACAAAAAACAATTGAAATAAACACATTCAGGTGCAGGATTAAAATAATATCTCAAGTTGTGCCAGAGCGGCCGTTTTTGTAGAAAGCTTTGTTTGCTGTGTATAAGTTCAAATCCTAAAAATAGTTACCAGAAATCTGACAAAATCGATTTCATTATATTATCATTCTTCATACGCACTAAAAACTACTATACGGAACCACWAGAATATAACAGACACATCAAGCTGTAAGAAATAATTGCCAAAGTATGGTAAAAAGTATTACACGGTTCATGTTTTTACCATGAGATGTGATTATTTTGGTGAATCTACATAAATTGGTATGTGGTGTAACCAATATTCAGATTCTTCAACCTTGTATTGCTCATTAGTATTCTATACTTACGGATTTCACTGAATTCGCCATCAGGCTTGCCGTTTTCCGGTATGTTTTCGTTAAATAATGAGCAAATCTTTCGTTTTCTGTTTCTTTAGATCCTAATTGCATGAACTCTCCTTGGACTAGGTCAGTAACTACCTGGAATAATAAATAAAAAACATAATTTAAAAAGTGAGACAGTTGGAAATAAAAAAGTAATGAACMTGRGATATTAAGCTTGCGAAGAAATGGATACATTGTAGATACAAACGTAGTAAAGAATCTAGATTAGCTGCAAAAGTTTATAGTTTARTATCGATRAAAAACACAAAAAAATGCGGSATTTATAAAAAGTATGTGAGCTCTCTAATTTAGTTCACAACTRGTATTAAAAGCAGCAGTTCAGAACAACAATTATAAAGCAATGTTARTYTTCTCAGTAGCCATATATATAGAGTGAGTACATTTACAGCGGCAAGACTAACACTTGAGAGAAGAGAGCAGYGTATTTTAAGACAAGGCCAAYGATGGCATTGGGAACTGTACGAAAGAWCCTGATMCAACATAYGTTAAAAMMGCATTAGTATTTTAGAYACAAGATGGCAAAGTYYAWAGTTTTATTTAGCATATTTTTAAATAATTTGTATTAAATATAAGAAGCTCCTATAAAACATTGCACGTTGAAATAAGTCATAGCGCTACATTCGAAAACGGTATTTCTTAAATAAACAAAACAATACTTTGTCTAAGTTCTCCTAAAAAAGTAGTAGTTTCGGTCTGAGACCGTCGCAAGTTTTCTTGTAAAACGTTTTTTGACTGCAACTAAATATAACACTGCAAACCGTACTAGAATGAAAATAATAAACTGAAAGTATACGTTTTTAATTGTAACAGTTCTRCTGAATTTAGAGTAGACCACAACAYTGAAAACCAACTGAAATCTTGGTATTTCAACAAAAGAAMTTTGCCATTCAGTATCTCAAAAAMTAATCGGTTTTTAAGATTTAAGCAGACTYATTAGCAAAATTATTATATGCKGCTTTATTTTCGGCGTTTGCTCAAGTTCTCCTCATATAAACTGGTTAAATTACATTCGTTGTGCCAAAAACACTTTTCTGCTATTTATTACCTACAAAACTTCAATTTGAGTGCACTTCTGAATCAAAGAGAATGAATTGATTTCTGTGCGTTCATTAACATGTAATTTCCATACGAAATAAATTAAAATAAAAAATATGAAAAAGTGTGGCTCACCTGGCTAAGAACTAGAGTAACTTCGTTATTTTTTAATCTGGCTATCATCATAGACGCTATCGCTAAGATGAAGTCGCCTGCCATTGTAACCTGGAACAAATACCGCGTTAAAAATACATTTATTTAATAAATCAAATATATTTCAAAGAACATGACAGTGGAATTTCAAATGAAATGATCACCTTTTAAGCCTGCTTAAATTTAAAGAATGTTCTTAAACATGTCCTGCTATGGATGTGCATTACTGACATAGATTTCCCTGTTCACCATTTAAGGTATCTTTCTATTATGTAAGTAGTCTAGCAAAAAATAACTGCAAACTGAACTAAATAGCATAAAGTGCAGATTTTAGATATTTACTACATGCTCAGAGCTTGATTATTTAGTTAAACCCGCAATAAATTGCGGTAAATTAAGAAATTCCCAACAATAGAAAAATTACCGTAATTCTTCACAACCCATGTGTCGATTTAATGTAAAAACATTACCGAAATGCCCGTCATTATTTTTGTAATCGCATGTGGTAATGACTTAATGATTCGTTATTATATTTCGCATTGTGTTAGAATTTAAAAGGATGTAGCACCCGATTTCGTCAAATTTCATTAATTATTTTCATAAAAGCTACATTTACCACCGACTTTCGTTAATAGTCTCGGCATTATATTTATATGCCATTGCAGAATTGAACTTTGAATGAACAAGCTTTCGGTTCGTGCCGAAACCTAATTAAATGCATGTAATCTGGAATTTCATAAGTTAGCAACTGATAATGAATTTCATTAACACACGGAAATAAGCAAACAGATGATGTAAGATACAGTTTATGTAACGGCACTTTTGTTGCAGCTCTCCGGAGTGATGAATTAGAGACCTAAATTGAGTGATAGGATCAAGTATTTTGTCCTTTTTAGAAGCGAGCCCAGAGAAGAAGATTATCCAGAAAATATGATAAGAGGAAAAAACTTGGTTGCCTCAGAGCCTCAAACTTTGCTGCATATAAAGTTCGCCTTTAGGATTTTCTGTGGTGGTACAAGAAGTTTTTCGAATCGAGAAAATCCCGGCATTGTCCAAATTTTTCATAATATTCGACAATAGTGAAGGTCCAGTAAAATGCATAACTAACAAATCCGTCCTAATTTCTAATAACTAATAACTAATGTCCGAATTTTTCAAAAGCAAGCGAACCAAATCTAATTCTACAATTCACTTCGACTGTTTAGTTGCCTACTTTCAATTTCAAGTTGTGACCAGGATGAAAGGGACGTGTAACTCTCGAAGACTTCGATGTCTTCGTTTCTTGCCACAAATTCAGTTTTTTACATATTAATTTATGGATATCTTAATTTAATGATGTCCTTTTGAGTTTCATATCAAAATCTACAGAACTGATGTGAACAGTTTCTGTGAATTCGTAACATTGTGTCTGAAAGTTTTAGAGCAGAAACGTCTCCACAACCGAAACGTTCAATGTTGAAAGAGGTTCAATAGATTTAAGGTATATGATTTTTTTTTCGTGGAATTGAACAAAAGACGTGTAGATTGAGGTTGCTTTATACAACCAAACAAGGATAGTATGTTAAACTAAAAGACTAATATAGAAAAGTTACTTAGTTGGTGAAACTATAAATTCCTGAATCCAACAAGTTGAGAAGAGTTAAATGTTTGGAAAACCAGTGTTCGTTTGAGGTACCAAAGCAATGATCTAAACACTTGAACTTCAATGAGTTTCATGAAGTTTTAGTCTTGTTACCTGATTTTTAACTGCAGAACCCCACATCATAGCATAGGTTTCTATTGTTAACAAGAATATTTGGATCTCATATCGCGGCTTGATTTTAAATGAAGTTTTTCAGGCGCATAACGTTGTTAGGACAATAGAAACGTAGCCGTTCAACAAGTACCAATGAGCCACGTGATACGGACTTTCGTCAAAAGTTATAAGTCAATATGCGCAAAAAGTTGGTTCTCCATGGCAGGTTCTGGTGCTTATTTCTAACGACTCAACAAAGTCTTAGTGGTTGCTTACGAAAACTAACCACTTACACTTTCTCAGAAGAATCAATTTCTTCGAATTAAAAACACACAATGGATTTCGCGCATTTTTCATATAGAAGATTGTATTATATATAGTTATTAGTCTAGTCTTGTTATAAATTTTAAGTTTTGAACATCATAATAAAAAAAACCGTCCGCAAATGCGCCGATATGTTTGTCAACAAATATCTGACCCAAAAAATTATAGAATCGTAATTTTTCCAAATAGAAATGTAACCCATGTTCATGCACGTTTTGCACTAAGTCATTGATTTGAGATTTTGAAACGTTTTATATGAATTCTAGTCTATTAAATGATCAGTTGAAAATGAGTCTTTAAGAGCTGATGAGTCTAAAGAGTACATAAATATATAATCATCCTGTAATAAAAAATATTCTTTGAAAATCCCACAATAACGCCTTAAAAGGAATGAGGCCATTTTTGAACCCTCCTACAAATATGTACGTTTCAATCCGATCGCACTAAAGATGAAAAGACAATAAACTGTTTATCGGACTTATATAATGGCTGGTTGCGGTTTTGGTAACGTATTGTTTTTACTAATTATATTATTATTTTGCGGATTGCAACAAAGATCGATGTTGCAACTGTTTATCGCTTATTTGTCAGTGCTGATTACTAATAGACCGTTCAATCATTATTATTTGCACCGCAATTCCAGTCAAAAGTCTTGCACGGTGAAAGAAAATAACGTTTTCAGAAATCAAGAAGAAGATCCACTCTAATAATTAAAGATGAAAAACAGTGTTATTCTGTATTAACAGAGTTAATAGGTGAAATATTATTTTCAAGTAGCCATCCCAATATTGCAACAAATTCCAATTAAAGCCGCTTATGTGAATGTCATTACGTTGCACTTGCAAGTTGACAGAGCTCAATGCATTTCCAAATCGCTTATTAAACTTGATATTTAAGTAATAATACACTGTAGAAAATTCGAGCGAACTACCTCGAGCTGATTTGCCAATAAACCTGCTCGAGTTGTTTCGTCATAAGAATTTCTGCAAGATAAATCTTAATTTTGCCAGTCAATAAAATGCATACGAGTTGCAATAGGTAGCCTTAGTTTACTTAGGTAGTTGTTCCTTTCGACAAGTTTATTCACACATAACTGAACATGAAATATATACACTTTATCCTTGTATCTTTTAATTTTGTTCCTTTTCACATTAAAATTTTTAAATCACATTATAGGTGAGTTACATTATCGTGGACCGACATCTAAAATGGCTTAGATCGAAGAAATTATCCAGCAATTAGGTCGAGAATTTTTATTATCACCCTTCCAATTCTCGTTGCCATTAAAATTGTTTCAAATTATTAGGTGATTTTATTTCCGTTTAAAAGTAGCAAATAGGCACTTGAAACAGGCGCAAATGCGCAATTGATTTAAACGTTTAATAACAACGAACAGTGAGCGAAAACACTAATTAAAAATAAAATTCACTATACAGTGTGCTCCTCTAATATTATCGGTTATCCGACAGATGCAGGCCTAACAGTTGTTACAATGGAAATTTGCAGTGGTAAAAAAAGAAAGTCGCTTGGGAAGAGTGTATCTGTACGTGGGCTACTTTTGAACAGATCGTTCAAAATTTCAAATTTTTCATACAAAAAAAATTGTTGTCCCAGTAGTGTGTTGAACTTGAAAAATTAATTTTATTTTCATTCACTTGTCGACAGCTGAAATGAACAGATTTTAGTTTAATTAGGAAAAGCACAATTTTTATAGCTTAGTTTTAGCCTATTGTTGTTCAATAATTACTAAATTGTCCATATTTTACGGAACACAAAAGGTTTAGGTTATTATTATTTTAATAATTGTAAAAAATATAACATTATCTGCTATTAATATATTTTTTTTATTTAAAAAGAAGTATTTTTTTATAAGATAAAATCTATTCATTTCAAGTATAAGCAAGTAAATGAAACTTATTTTTGCAGCTGAACACGCTTTTGTGAGATGCCTCAAATGCCATTGAACTTGAAATGTGAACACACAATTCAGGCATTTCTTCCTGTATCAAAACGTCGACTGCAAAAATATATAACAAGTAATAAAACGTGTGGTATAAGTCCCGATATCCAACAGTTGATACAAAACAACACTCATCAATAATCAGTTTTTGTCTACACAGATGTTATGAAATAAACAACGTTGCAACTAACAATGTAATAATGAACAGTAATAGACAAGGCAAGAAAATGAAAATTAGTAACCAGTCATTGGCCTGGAGGAGCAAAACCATCATTATTCAAATCAATAACATTATTTTACCCAGTACAATAAACATATAGTCATCTTAATGATTTAAGAGCATTTATTGCAGTCAAACATGAATCTTATTAACCGAGGAAAAATATAAATCACGAATACACTTCCAGTGCTGACCTTTGAAAACATGTAACTATTTTGATATAATGATAGGTTTGATGTGTAATGATTGAGAAATAGAAAATTGCATATTTAAGTATGTCTAGGGCAACGATCGGTAATGATATTTATAACTTGAACAACTGAAATGAGCACATGTCAGATATTTTTGTAATTGGTCGTTAAAGCAAGCATTTTTTATTAAATTATCAGTATTCTTCCAATGTATGATATTATTATTTGTTTTACAATGTTACTAGAGTGTCCGTTAATTCATTCATCTAATCCGCTTTATGTACACAGGTTCTTAATCAATTAATAATGTGTTTATCCTTGATGATACATACGTTCTCACTTCTCATTTATGAAGCACTTTGCCCAATAAACTTCGCTTTGTTATTACATTCGCACTTTAGTTCACAATTATCTTTCCAATAATTACACCTGTTAAATTTGAGAATATTTTGGTATGTAATGGTTTTTGAAAAACTGTTATAGCTGCTTTGGAAAATTCTGCATGTTCAGAACAGACAGGAATTCAAATTAATAATACTATTAAAATTAGTAATACAAAAGCGCCCATAAAGTATTATTATAACACACAGCAAAAATACCTCAATTATTTATTTGGTATAATAAATATTTTTTTTTCTATTT